AAAATACTACTATTTTAAAAATTGTTTAAAATACGATTTTTATATTCTAGACGACTTGTCTGGGCTTAAAATGCTTAAAAATTGATTTTTTTTTTTTGGGAAATTTAAAAAAGTAGTAGAACTACTACTATTTTTAAAATTGTTGAAAAAAACGATTTTTAGCTCCAAAAAACTTTTTTATGGCTTAAATTGCACAAAAAAGTGATTTTTAGAAGAATTTAAAAAAGTAGTAGAAATACTACTATTTTAAAAATGGTTAAAAATTAGTTTTTCGCTTTTAAACCCATATATTATGGTTAAAAATGCATAAAATTGAAATTTTTGCAAAATTTAAAAAAGGTAGTAGAAATACTACTATTTCAAAAATTGTTTAAAAACCGGTTTTTAACTTCTAGAAGACTTTTAATGGCTTCAAATACATAAAAAAGTAATTTTTGGTGGAATTTAAAAAAGTAGTAGAAATACTACTTTTTTTAAAAAACTGAAAATTAATGTTTTTGTTTAATTTTATGCTTTTTTGTAGAGGGTTTATGTTGTTTTTGATTATTTTAAGTTTAATGGATTGATATTTTTATTTTTTATAAATTTTCTTAAGTAAACTTCAGCAACGAGACATGAATGTGCATGTTTTGCATAGAAATATATTGAATGAAATAAAAACAATACTTCCTTTAAGGAGTAAAACATTGAAAACAAAAGAAAAACAACAAATTAAACACTTAATACAAACAACCAAAATATTAATAAATTATACATTAAATAATACAAGTTATCGCTTTTACTGTTATTGATTGAAATGATTGAAATAAATGTGTAGATATTTTTAATTTTCGATTTTATAATTATATTTTTATTACTAAAATATTGAAAAAAAATATATATTAAATAGTATTTAAAACTAACAAATGAAAAATTGTCAAATGGATAAGTATACAACAACCAAGAAGTAACCGAGTGAGAACGAATAAATGGAAATGACAGCTGAAGCAATCTCTGAATAAAAGGATTAATTGTTTGGAAGAAGCTGTAAATTAACAATTAACTTGGCTTTAATAAGAAATAAGAACACATACACACACTCTAACATACACACACATGTATACAGCCATACACAAATGGTTAACAAGTTAAATACATTTATAAAACAAAAAAACAAAAGAAATAATTTAAAATAGCTGTAGTTTTAACAATAACAAAATAATGTTAATAAATTGGTAATCAAAATTTAAATTTACAAAAAAAAAACTTATTAAATATTGATAAAAAACAGTAAAATATTGAAATATATTTTTTAGTTTGTGCTAAAAAGTTGAACAAAAGGAGAAGAAAACAAAAATTTTAGAAAATTTCTGTTTAAAAAAAAGTAGTAAAAATACTACTATTTTAAAAATTAACAAAAATGTGTTTTTTAGCTATTTTTATAAAGATTTTACTGTAAAAATAAATTTATAGCAATTTTAAACACTTTTTTAAAAAAGTAGTAGAAATACTACTATTTTTAAAATCAATAAAAATCAGTTTTTCTGTAAATTTAATAAAGTTTTTGCTCTAAAAACAGTATTTTGAGCAATTTACAAAATTTTAAAAAAAGTAGTAAAAAACTACTATTTTTAAAATACACAAAACTTGTTATTTTTAATTTTGCTGCTGTTTTTAGATGTTTTTGTTTCATAAAAATGTGTTAACAGCAATTTTAGACACTTTTAAAAAAAAGTAGTAGATATACTACTATTTTAAAAATCAACAAAAATAAGATTTTCTGTAAGTTTCTTCAAATTTTTGCTCTAAAACAGTATTTTCAGTAATTTTATAAAATTTAAAAAAAGTAGTAGAAATAGTACTATTTTTAAAATTCACAAAATTTGTTATTCCTACTTTTGCTGCTGGTTTTGGATGTTTTTATTTCATAAAAATGTGTTTACAGCAATTTTAGACACTTTTTTAAAAAAGTAGTAGAAATACTACTATTTTTAAAATCAACAAAAATAAGTTTAATAAAGTTTTTGCTCTAAAAACAGTATTTTCAGCAATTTTACAAAATTTTAAAAAAGTAGTAGAAATACTACTATTTTTAAAATCAACAAAAAGAAGTTTTTCTGTAAGTTTAATAAAGTTTTTGCTCTAAAAACAATATTTTGAACAATTTTACAAAATTTAAAAAAGTAGAAAAATACTACTAATTAAAAACGGTGTCAAAATGAGTTTTTATTTAGTCTTTTTTTGGTCTAAAAAATGTATTTTCTGATATAAAAAAATATTTCAAAGAATTTTACTACTTTTTTAAAAAAAATAGTAAAAATACTACTTTTTTAAAAAGCAGTAAAATACGTTTTTTCATTACTTTTATAGATTTTCTATACTAAAAATTTGATTTTACAACCTTTTTAAAAAAAGTACTTAAACTACAACAATTTTTAAAATTCCTTAAAAGAAATCCCTCTTCTCCTTTGTCTACACACTTAACAAATTGCAAAAGTAATTTAATTGAAAAAAATAAAAAAAAAATTGCAATTGATTGACAAATAACTAATGAATTGATTGAAATGCATAAAGACGCCACAGCGAATAATTTTAAAAAGTTTAAATTAAAGAGAAAAAGTATTAAAAAAACATTTATAAATGTGCAAAGAATTAAATACAGAAATTGTTAAATAAAGAAACTAAATAAAAAGATAAAAATAATACTAAAAGAAAAATCAAGTTAAATATGAATTGAAAATTGAATATATTGAAAGAAAAATTTTGGAGAAGTTGTTTTATTAGGTATAAAAATTAAAAGGTAAGTGAAACTAAATGTTCTATTATTCTTAATAAATTTTTAATTCATATTGATTTTCTAAGAGAATTGATTGAATGAAAATCATAAAAAACACATTTAAACGTCATCTTCAAGTCAATTAATAAAGCTTTAAACGAAAATGCAGGGTTTTTTGTACATTTAGAAAATAGTAGTAAAATACTACTTTTTTCAAATTAAGCCAAATTCAGCAAAATTTGTCAGTTAGCTAATTAGTTGGTTAATTAGTTAGTTAGTTAGTTAGTTAGTTAGTTAGTTAGTTAGGTAGTTAGTTAGTTAGTTAGTTAGTTAGTTAGTTAGTTAGTTAGTTAGTTAGTTAGTTAGTTAGTTAGTAGTTAGTTAGTTAGTTAGTTAGTTAGTTAGTTAGTTAGTTAGTTAGTTAGTAGTTAGTTAGTTAGTTAGTTAGTTAGTTAGTTAGTTAGTTAGTTAGTTAGTTAGTTAGTTAGTTAGTTAGTTAGTTAGTTAGTTAGTTAGTTAGTTAGTTAGTTAGTTAGTTAGTTAGTTAGTTAGTTAGTTAGTTAGTTAGTTAGTTAGTTAGTTAGTTAGTTAGTTAGTTAGTTAGTTAGTTAGTTAGTTAGTTAGTTAGTTAGTTAGTTAGTTAGTTAGTTAGTTAGTTAGTTAGTTAGTTAGTTAGTTAGTTAGTTAGTTAGTTAGTTAGTTAGTTAGTTAGTTAGTTAGTTAGTTAGTTAGTTAGGTTAGTTAGTTAGTTAGTTAGTTAGTTAGTTAGTTAGTTAGTTAGTTAGTTAGTTAGTTAGTTAGTTAGTTAGTTAGTTAGTTAGTTAGTTAGTTAGTTAGTTAGTTAGTTAGTTAGTTAGTTAGTTAGTTAGTTAGTTAGTTAGTTAGTTAGTTAGTTAGTTAGTTAGTTAGTTAGTTAGTTAGTTAGTTAGTTAGTTAGTTAGTAGTTAGTTAGTTAGTTAGTTAGTTAGTTAGTTAGTTGCTAGTTAGTTAGTTAGTTAGTTAGTTAGTTAGTTAGTTAGTTATAGTTAGTTAGTTAGTTAGTTAGTTAGTTAGTTAGTTAGTTAGTTAGTTAGTTAGTTCTGTTCTGTTCTGTTCTAGTTCTGTTCTAGTTTGTTCTAGTTTGTTCTAGTTCTGTTCTAGTTCTGTTTCTAGTTCTGTTCTAGTTCTGTTCTAGTTCTGTTCTAGTTCTGTTCTAGTTCTGTTCTAGTTCTGTTCTAGTTCTGTTCTAGTTCTGTTCTAGTTCTGTTCTAGTTCTGTTCTAGTTCTGTTCTAGTTCTGTTCTAGTTCTGTTCTAGTTCTGTTCTAGTTCTGTTTCTAGTTCTGTTCTAGTTCTGTTCTAGTTCTGTTCTAGTTCTGTTCTAGTTCTGTTCTAGTTCTGTTCTAGTTCTGTTCTAGTTCTGTTCTAGTTCTGTTCTAGTTCTGTTCTAGTTCTGTTTCTAGTTCTGTTCTAGTTCTGTTCTAGTTCTGTTCTAGTTCTGTTCTAGTTCTGTTCTAGTTCTGTTCTAGTTCTGTTCTAGTTCTGTTCTAGTTCTGTTCTAGTTCTGTTCTAGTTCTGTTCTAGTTCTGTTCTAGTTCTGTTCTAGTTCTGTTCTAGTTCTGTTCTAGTTCTGTTCTAGTTCTGTTCTAGTTCTGTTCTAGTTCTGTTCTAGTTCTGTTCTAGTTCTGTTCTAGTTCTGTTCTATTTCTGTTCTAGTTCTGTTCTAGTTCTGTTCTAGTTCTGTTCTAGTTCTGTTCTAGTTCTGTTCTAGTTCTGTTCTATTTCTGTTCTAGTTCTGTTCTAGTTATGTTCTAGTTATGTTCTAGTTCTGTTCTAGTTCTATTCTAGTTCTATTTTAGTTCTGCTCTAGTTCTATTATAGTTCTATTTTAGTTCTGTTCTAATTCTGTTCTAGTTCTGTTCTAGTTTTTTCCTAGTTCTGTAAAAAACTTTAATAAGCTAAAATGTTGAAATTTTTCAAGTAGTAGTAGAAATACTTTTTTTAAAATGTCTTAAATTTAACTTTTTAACAATTTTTATAGTTTTTTACCATAAAAAGTAGTTTATAGATAATTTTAAACAATTTCTCAATTTCTTTTAATATTGAAATGGGATCACTATTTTAATTATATTTTTCTTTGAGTGTAAACAATATTTAGCATACAATATAATTATTATAATCTTGTTATTTAAACAATAACAACTATATGGAAGAGAGAACTAAATTCTTGGCTATCAATACACAAAACATATTTGGTCTTTTAGTATTAGTTTGGAACTCCCACTGAGTAGAAGTATTGAAGCGTTTGCGTTGAAATTTAAAGAAAAATTAAAGAAACAAAAAAACTCGTATTAATTAAAAATTAAATTATAAAAAATTTTATTTGAAATTTTTTAGAAAAATGTCTGTGATTTTAGTATTCTGTTTGGTGTTTGCTTCGGTGTATTTTTTCTTAAAATGGTATAAAGTATTTTTAACCGGCATACAAATGCCTGGACCCTGGGCAATACCTTTCATGGGCAATGTGCAAATGATAACAAAATTAACACCAGAAAGTGAGTTATTTTCCATTTCGATTAAGATTAAGTTAAAAATAACTTAATGCATTTAGCAACATAGAAAACAAATAATTAAATTTGTTTTTTTTTTACTAGAACTTCTTTTTCACATACAAAACTTTCGCGAAACTTGTGGAGAATCTTTTCGCCTCTGGCTGGGACCCAAACTTTGGGTATTTTTACATACCCCTGAAGAAAATCGTGATGCTTTACAGGATTCTTCTTTAAGAAAAGCAGATACTTTTTTGTTGTTGGACAAACTTATCGGCAATGGTTTACTAATAAGTCATGGTATTTATGAAATTTCTTAAATAGAAAGAAATTTTTTATATTTAGCTTTCTTTAGGCCAATTTTGGGAGTCTCATCGTAAGGCCTTGGGGCCCGCCTTTCATCCTAACATTCTAAATGGTTTCACCGAAACCATTTGCCAACATGCTGACATTTTGGTGGAAATTTTAAGAAATTTACAAACGAAACCGGTGGAAATAACGGATTATTTATTTCCCTGCATAATGGACTCTATAATAGAGACCTCTATGGGTAAAAATTTACAATCACAAAAGGATGAAAATCATTTTTATACTCATGCTTTTCATAGGTAAGTTTGAAAATTTAAAAAAACTTAAAAAAATATTTTTTTGGCATTTTTTTAAAAAAGTAGTAAAATACTACTATTTTGAAAATGTTTAAATTTCAACCAATAACAACTTATCACACTTTTCCTAAATGAAATAACAAAATTTTGTTAAATTTTTAACAAATTTTCAAAAAGTAGTAGAAATACTACTTTTTAAATTTCATAAAAAACCTTATAATTTGCTTAAATTTTGTTATTTACAACTCATTTCTCTTAATTTTAAGAAATTTAAAAATTTTTTTGGATTTTTGAAATTTTTGGAAAAAGGTAGTAAAATACTACTACTACATATTTATAAATTTGTAAAATTTCAACTAAATTAGACATTTTATTTATTTTCTTACATTCCTAATAAATATTATTAAAATTTTGCCAAATATTTTAAAATTGTAAAAAGTAGTAGAAATACTACTTTTTTTTAAATAGTTTTAATTTCAACTAAAAATTTATTTTCTTATATTTCTAACATTTACTTCTCAAAATAGCGATTTTTTTCGAAATTTTTCATATATTTTTAAAATAGTAGTAAAAATACTACTTTTTTAAATTTCATAAAAACCTTATAATTTGGTTAAATTTTACTATTTATATATTATTTAAAACAATTTGATGAAAATTCATTTAAAATTTATCGAACATTTTTAAATTTTTAAACATTTTATAAAAAGTAGTAGAAATACTACTTTTCTTAATTTGTTGCAATTTAATCTTAAAAAAGATTTTTTTTTATATTTCTTACATTTTTTACATTCCTAGTAAAAAATTAATAAAAAATTGACAAATTTTGCAAAAATGTCAAAAAGTAGTAGAAATACTACTTTTTTTTAAATTATTCCTATTTGACCTAAATTCAAATTAAGCTGTTATTACATATTATGGAAATAGCAATATTTTGAATTTTTCTTCATTTTCTTAAATAGTAGTAAAAATACTCCTTTTTTAAATTGTAGAGAAAATCATAATCTTTCTACATTTCTTGTTATTTTAGAAAATTCTATTAATATCATGTACAATCAATCTATGGAAAAACTGTGCATATTTTGTAAATTTAAAAAAATGCAGTAGAAATACTACTTTTTAAAGTTGTTCCAATTTGACCTAAATTCGAATTTATCTTATAAAACTTACATATAATTTATGGAAATAGCAATATTAATATTTTTTTAAATAGTAGTAAAAATACTACTTTTTTTAAATTGTAGTGAAAATCATAATTTTACTACATTTTCTTGTTATTTTATACAATTTTATAAATATCATGTGAAAATTGTAGAAAAACTGGGCATATTTCGTAAATTTTGTAAAAAGTAGTAAAAAATACTACTTTTTCAAAATTGTTGCAATTTGATTGAAATTAACATTTGACTACATTTCTTATATTTTCTATATGAAAATATTAATATTTTAATAAGATTAACGCCTTTTTAGAATAGTAGTAGAAATACTACTTTTTAAAATTGGTCTTAAATTCGAAATTTTATTAATTTTAACCGTTATTGTTGTTTCTTACAAATCTATTAAGTTTATTGGGAAATTTGTGAACAAAAACTTGAAAATTTTTTAAAAAGTAGTAGAAATACTACTATTTTCAAATTATCCCAAATTCACCTAAAACATAACCTTTTTATTTTCTTACATTTTCTTATATGAAACATGAAGATTTTAGTATTTTTTGTAGATTTTCCAAATAGTACTAAAAATACTACTATTTTAAAATCGTTATAAATTCCCCTAAAATAGAATTTTATTTACTTTTTTACATTTTTCTGTACGAAACTGCAAGATTTCAGTATTTTTTTTGGACATTTGCGAAATAGTACTAAAAATACTACTATTTTTAAATCGTTTCAAATTCATCTAAAATAGAATTTAACATAGTTTCTTACTTTTTCGTGTATGAAACCGCAAGATTTTAGTACTTTTTGGACATTTGCGAAATAGTACTAATAATACTACTATTTTTAAATCATCCCAAATCCACCTAAAATAGTATTTTATTTACTTATCTTATATTTTTCTGTATGAAACAGCTATATTTTAGTAATTTTTTAACATTTTTAAAATAGTACTAAAAATACTACTATTTTGAAATCGTTTCAAATTCTATTTTAGTTGATTTAACATACTTTCTTAAATTTTTCTGTATGAAACAACAAGATTTTGGTACTTTTTTGACTTATTTAAAAAAGTACTAAAAATACTACTTTTTCAAATTGCTCCAAATTTGAAAATTTATATTTTTTACGCTATTCTGCTACAAAAAAGATATAAATTATTATATTTAACACATTTTTAAAATAGTACTAAAAATACTACTTTTTTAAAAATTTCAAATATTTTTAATTTTTCATGACATTCTTAAGATTTAATTTTTTTATAATTATTTTTAGAACTAGTGAATTACTTTTCGCCAGAATGACTAATCCTTGTTATTCTCCGATTTCATTTACAATAAAACTTCCGCTTGCCAGGAATTGGATAAAAATCTTAATATTATACACACCTTAATGGAATCGGTTATAAAGGAAAGACAAGAATATTTCAGAGAATTAAAAGAATCAGGAGATTTGATTGATATCGGTGGAAGTGGTAAACGTAAAAGACCTCAATGTCTTTTAGATACTTTACTAACAGTGGAAATAGATCAGCAACCTTTGACCTTGAAGGAAATCCGAGATGAAGTTAATACTTTTGTGTTTGCGGTAAGATCTACATCTTTTTGGATTATAATGTAAATTGACCAAATATTTTTCCACTTTAAAGGGAGTTGACACCACTACTGCTACCATGTCCTTTGTGCTATACGCTTTAGGCAAATATCCCGAGGAGCAAAAACGTCTATTACAGGAGTTACAGCATCATAATTTGGATTATAGTGAATCCTTAACACCCAGCGATCTTAATAAATTAGAATATTTGGATATGTTTATTAAAGAATGCCTAAGGTTCTATACCATAGTACCTTTAACCGGAAGACAAACTACCCAGCCCACTAAAATCGGTCAACGTACTTATGCTGCTGGCATTACTTTATGGATTAATATGTACGGTTTGGCTCATGATGAAAGCCTTTTCGAGGACCCTTGGTCCTTTAAACCCTCACGTTTTACTAAGAAATCCTATGAAAAAGTTCCCAAATTTAGTTATATTCCTTTTTCAGCGGGCCCCCATATATGCATTGGACGCAAATACGCCTTTTTGATAATGAAAATTTTGACCGTAAAAATTTTACAGAAGTTACAAGTTTCTCTCAGAGATCCTGACGAGGAATTGGTGTTAATGGCACAAATGGTTTTAAAGGCCAAAAATGGCATAAATTTGGTTTTTAATGAAAGATTGTGAGACAGATTTTTAAGAAAATAAAGAAAAATTTTGAAAACCTAAAAAAGTAGTATTTTTTGTACTATTTTAAAAAATGGTAAAAATATAATTAATTTTCGTAATTTATAGCAGAAAAGTGTAAAAAATTATGAAAATTTTAGTTTTAAGCAAATTTGAAAAAAGTAGTATTTCTACTACTATTTTCAAAAAGTCGAAATTATACTGAAACTTAACTTTTTTAACAGAAAACCTAAAAATATCACAAAATTTCAAATTTAGAACAAATTGAAAAAAGTAGTATTTTTACTACTATTTTCAAAATGTTGAAATTATATTGAAATTTAGCTATTTTATATTAGAAAAGTTTGAAAAATTTTAAAAAAATAATAAAATTATATCATTTTGAAAAAAGTAGTATTTCTACTACTATTTTCAAAATGTCAAAATTACAAAAAACCCAACTATTTTTTGCCAGAAAACATTAAAAAAATATGTAATTCAAACTTTTGAAAAAAGTAGTATTTTTAGTACTATTTTTAAAATGTCTAAAAAGTAAAAAACCTTGTTGTTTCATACAGAAAAATTAAAGAAACTTAATAAAATTCTATTTTAGGTAAATTTGGTACGATTAAAAACTAGTAGTATTTTTAGTACTACTTTTAAAATGACCAAAAAGTACTAAAATCTTGCTGTTTCATGCAGAAAAATTTTAGGAAATAAATAAAATTATATTTTAGGTGAATTTGGAACGATTTAAAAATAGTAGTATTTTTAGTACTATTTTTAAAATTAACAAAAAGTACTAAAATCTTGCTGTTTCATACACAAAGTGTAAGAAAGTATATAAAATTATATTTTAGGCGAATTCGGAACGAATTAAAAGTAGTAGTATTTTTAGTACTATTTTTAAAATGGCCAAAAATTACTAAAATCCTGCTGTTTCATGCAGAAAAATATAAGAAAATTAATAAAATTATATTTTAAGTGAAATTGGAATTAATTTTAAATAGTAGTATTTTACTACTTTTTGAAAAAATATTTTTTTTTAATTTTTCACAATTTTCAAAATAAATTTAATAAATTAGTAAGAAATAATAAGAAAGTTGATAAAATTTTGAATATTAGATGAATTTACAAAAAGTAGTATTTCTACTACTGTTTTATAAAAGTCAAATATTTATTAAAATATTGCTTTTTCATATAGAAAATATAAAAAATGTTAGTAAGTTTGAGATTTCATGATTTTTTCTATTATTGAAAAAGTAGTATTTTTACTACTATTATAAAAGGTATGAGTACATAATGGCAAAATATTGTTACTTTCATAAAGTAGATGTAAGTAATTTCAGCTTAAGTTGAATTTTGATCAAATTAGAACCATTTTTAAAAAGTAGTATTTCTACTACTTTTTTCAAACTATACAAAAATTCATAGTTTTTCTATAAATTTTATATGACTTTAATAAAATTGTTTAAAATAATAAGAAAATGTAGCAAAATTATGATTTTCTCTACTATTAAAAAGAGTAGTATTTTTACTACTATTTAAAAAAGTATGAAAAATGACAAAATATTGATATTTTCATAAAGTAGATGTAAGTAATTTCAGCTTAAGTTAAATTTTAGTCAAATTGAAACCATTTTTAAAAAGTAGTATTTCTACTCCTTTTTTCAAAATTTACAAAAATTTTTTATAAATTTTACATAATATTAATATTATTAAACGAAAATATAGCAAACTATAATTTTCTCTACTATTAAAAAGAGTAGTATTTTTACTACTAAAGTATGAAAAATGACAAAATATTGCTATTTTCATAAATTGCATTTAAATGATATAAGTTAATGTCGAATTTTGGTCAAATTGCAACAGTTTTGAAATAGTAGTATTTTAGTACTTTTTTAAAAATGAAGGAAAACTCACAGATTTCTATAAGTTTTACATAATATCAATAAAAGTGTGTAAAGTAACAAGAAAATGTAGTAAAATTATGATTTTTTAAAAACATTTTCTCTGTTTTATTATTAAAAATCTGAATTTCCTTCAAATCTAATAAAAACAACAAGAAAATCCCTTTATTTTCTTACATATTCTTAAAATTTTTATAAAAATACCCACAATTCACTGTATGTCCCATAATTTTATTTAAATGTAAAGAAAACCCTAAAAAATATCTTTATTTTGTTCAAAAACTAAAAAAAAATCATTTTAAACTCTTTTATTTTTCAAAAATTAACGGTTTCAATAATTTACCAAACAACCCTGTTAAAAACAACAAAAAACTCACAACAGCAACTCTGACTCTTATCAAAAACATCGCACTCGCTTCAAAAAACAAACAACAACAATATGAAAACAAAAACATAGCAAATGTCAACAAAACGAAAAAAAAACACACTTGACAGCTGACTAACAACAAGAGAAAATAAAGAGAGCAAATTATTAACGACGTGTAAAAAAATTATAAAAAACCAAAGAATTTGTTTAAATTTATAAACAAATCTAAAAAAAAACAATTAAAATTCTATATAATTAAAAAAACTTACAACAAAAACAACATGCAGTCCGAGGATTTATTGCAATTTAAGGATTTTTCCAATACAACCCAACACCAGCAGTCCTCCGGCACAAATAAATGTCAATTCTCCTACACATTCCAATAGCAATTCCTCCTCTGGTGCGGGACGACAACGTGGTGATCCTTTACAGGATTTAATCTACGACATGAGTAATTCGGCTAATATTTTAAGCGGCTCGGGTGGGGGTTCAGCAAATGGTGCTGGTTCTGCTAATGGTGGAGAAGGTTTGCCAGAACCTGCCACCGCTGGCACAAATAAAGTGTCTTCTTGACTTTGGAATATTATCAGCAATTTTTCAATGTTGACACCTTAATGGTTTTGGAACGTATTGCTAATTCTATGATCCCCAAGAGGGCTCCTGGGAATTATTTGAAATCGATTATAGGTCAGAATCCAGATTTGTATGGTCCTTTTTGGATTACCACTACTTTGGTGAGTTTTTTTTTGGATATCAACACAAAACACTAAACTAATTTTATTTATCTCAATGTACAGATCTTCAGTATTGCTATTAGTGGCAATATTGCCAGTTATTTGCAGGCGGCCGATGACCACTACAAGTGGCGTTATAATTTTCACTTGGTTTCGGTGGCGGCCAGTTGTATCTTTGTCTATGTGAATTTATTGCCAGCGGCTTTGTGGGGCCTATTTAAGTATAGTTTGAAACCCATACAAGAGGGTTTGGAAACGGAGAATGTAAGTAAAAATACACAGACCATAGGGCAGACTAGAGTCCATAACATAAAATAGCTTAAAGATATATTATAGACTAGACTATAGACTAGTCTATAGACTAGACTAGACTATACTAGACTAGACTATAGACTAGACTATAGACTAGACTATAGACTAGACTATAGACTAGACTATAGACTAGACTATAGACTAGACTATAGACTAGACTATAGACGATATAGACTAGACTATAGACTAGACTATAGACTAGACTATAGACTAGACTATAGACTAGACTATAGACTAGACTATAGACTAGACTATAGACTAGACTATAGACTAGACTATAGACTAGACTATAGACTAGACTATAGACTAGACTATAGACTAGACTATAGACTAGACTATAGACTAGACTATAGACTAGACTATAGACTAGACTATAGACTAGACTATAGACTAGACTATAGACTAGACTATAGACTAGACTATAGACTAGACTATAGACTAGACTATAGACTATAGACTAGACTATAGACTAGACTATAGACTAGACTATAGACTAGACTATAGACTAGACTATAGACTAGACTATAGACTAGACTATAGACTAGACTGTAGACTAGATTAGACTATAGACTAGATTAGACTATAGACTAGACTATAGACTAGATTAGACTATAGACTAGACTATAGACTAGACTATAGACTAGACTATAGACTAGACTATAGACTAGACTATAGACTAGACTATAGACTAGACTATAGACTAGACTATAGACTAGACTATAGACTAGACTATAGACTAGACTATAGACTAGACTATAGACTAGACTATAGACTAGACTATAGACTAGACTATAGACTAGACTATAGACTAGACTATAGACTAGACTATAGACTAGACTATAGACTAGACTATAGACTAGACTATAGACTAGACTATAGGCTAGACTATAGACTAGACTAGACTATAGACTAGACTAGACTATAGACTAGACTATAGACTAGACTATAGACTAGACTATAGACTAGACTATAGACTAGACTATAGACTAGACTATAGACTAGACTATAGACTAGACTATAGACTAGACTATAGACTAGACTATAGACTAGACTATAGACTAGACTATAGACTAGACTATAGACTAGACTATAGACTAGACTATAGACTAGACTATAGACTAGACTATAGACTAGACTATAGACTAGACTATAGACTAGACTATAGACTAGACTATAGACTAGACTATAGACTAGACTATAGACTAGACTATAGACTAGACTATAGACTAGACTATAGACTAGACTATAGACTAGACTATAGACTATACTACTAGACTATAGACTAGACTATAGACTAGACTATAGACTAGACTATTGACTAGACTATAGACTAGACTATAGACTAGACTATAGACTAGACTATAGACTAGACTATAGACTAGACTATAGACTAGACTATAGACTAGACTATAGACTAGACTATAGACTAGACTATAGACTAGACTATAGACTAGACTAGACTATAGACTAGACTATAGACTAGACTATAGACTAGACTATAGACTAGACTATAGACTAGACTAGACTAGACTAGACTAGACTAGACTATAGACTAGACTATAGACTAGACTATAGACTAGACTATAGACTAGACTATAGACTAGACTATAGACTAGACTATAGACTAGACTATAGACTCTATAGACTAGACTAGACTAGACTATAGATAGACTATAGACTAGCTATATACTAGACTATAGGCTAGACCATAGACTAGACTCTAGACTAGACTATAGACTAGACTATAGACTAGACTATAGACTAGACTATAGACTAGACCATAGACTAGACTATAGACTAGACTATAGACTAGACTATAGACTAGACTATAGACTAGACTATAGACTAGACTATAGACTACGACTATAGACTAGACTATAGACTAGACTATAGACTAGACTATAGACTAGACTATAGACTAGACTATAGACTAGACTATAGACTAGACTATAGACTAGACTATAGACTAGACTATAGACTAGACTATAGATATCCTGGAGTTTAGGCTAGACTATAGATATCCTGGACTTTGGGCTAGTTTAACAATTTATGTTCTTTTTCCAGGCTGATACACCCCTTCTTTGTTGGCCTTAATGGTGTTTATGGTTATTCTTTGGCTATTTACATTCCTGTTCTCCATTTGTGGGTTATACAAGTGAGTTAAGATGAATTTCTTTAAGAAAAAATGCTAACTTTTCCTTCATTTCCAGCTGTCTATTCTACAATGGCTTTTGGTCATCACTGCCGCTTTATTATCCGGTTCTGTTTTTAATTGCTGTTCTCACACCAGCCTTAAGAAATTCCAAAATTTCTTTATTCCTGATTATAGCCATTCTTGGAGCTCATTTTCTTTTGGCAGCTGGCTTTATGTTGTGTTTCTTTCATGTACCCAGTGGTGGTAGTGTACGTTCTGTAACACCCGTTGTTAGCTCAGCCGCTCCCATAATTAATATAGTCAAACATTCGGTGGTATCGACGGCCAAGGCATTAGTGGGAAATATCAATGAACTAAAGTTTAATAAGTTTATGTTTATTTTATTATTATTATTTTGCAGGTTTTTTAAGTTTTAATTTTTACAGAAATTAAGAAGAGTATTAAATGATTAATAAAAAGAAAATTGGATTATTTACATAAGTGAATTGATGAAGAAATGCTGCAGCTTAAAAGAAAAAGATTGCAACGGGAAGTTTTTTAAGATAAAACAGTGTAAAGAATTTAGGAAAAGCAGTTGCTGGTAACAGAGTTTCAAGATAAAGCAGTGACATAAACTATAAATCAAGATAAAACAGTTTCAAGAAAGAATAATGATTAAAACATTTACAACGATTAAACAGTGTAATCAAGAAATTTAAGGTAATTTCTAAAGATTATTATAAAATATTTCATAAAATTTATAGGAAATTTAACAAATTTTAAGAAAATAATTATCAAAACTGAAGAATAACAAACTAGAAATTGGAAGATTATAATTTTATCTCCAAATAGTTTTTCCTTAAACTTTTTAGGTCATTTAATTCAAAGTCCTTCTAATTGACATTTTATCCCGTTATCTGGGTTCCTTTGTATGATTTAATTGTTTCCCTCTATGATGACATGTTAGTGTCATTTAAAATTTGATTTGCACATAAATTAAATTTACATTTGTTATTTTGAAAACATTTTGTAATAAAAGTCAGTTTTGTAATAAACTTATTTTACCTTTTTACAAAACATATACCATTGTTTCTTTATAAAACCAGAAACCGGTCTTGACCAGACCTTTTTTTTTCTAAAACAAAACCTACTGCAGTTTGCCTTTACAAAAAAAAAACCCTTATCAATTTGTAATTTTTTGTTGTAAGTTTGGTTTTCAAAAATATGGGTTGCATTTGCTGGCTGTTGAAAAAAAAAACTTCCTTTTGTTTCAAAGTTCCAGTTTGGCTGCTATCTAAATGATGTCTATGTTTTCTTTTTTTATTCCACAGCTATTGTTATTTTTACAGCCTCCTGTCTCTGTTCGTATATACTTTTTGGTTAATCCTTTTGTTTTCCTTCCGCTCTCTCTTTACCCTTTCTCAATTTAGTTTTTAATTTTCTTTAGCCAAAGGGAGTTTGGCCTTTATATAGCGAAAAACTTTATCTAAAACTGCATTTACATGCTGCAAGAAAGGGTTGCTTTGTCTATATTTATAAAGGGCAGTTGGGTGGCATGAGATTAATCCTAAAACTAGGAATAACATCAGAAACGACAAAAAGTTAAAGCTAACTGATAGGTAAATATAGTATGAAAAAAAAGAATAAAACGTTAATTGGAAGTTAAAGTCCGAAATGGGAAAAAACTGAAATTGAATAATTTTAAAGTGAATTTACATAGATTTCCTTCATTGAAGAAAATTTTAAGGAAAGACAAATTTTAAGTCTACAGTCTAGTCTATAGTCTAGTCTATAGTCTAGTCTATAGTCTAGTCTATAGTCTAGTCTATAGTCTAGTCTATAGTCTAGTCTATAGTCTAGTCTATAGTCTAGTCTATAGTCTAGTCTATAGTCTAGTCTATAGTTTAGTCTATAGTCTAGTCTATAGTCTAGTCTATAGTCTAGTCTATAGTCTAGTCTATAGTCTAGTCTATAGTCTTGTCTATAGTCTAGTCTATAGTCTAGTCTATAGTCTAGTCTATAGTCTAGTCTATAGTCTAGTCTATAGTCTAGTCTATAGTCTAGTCTATAGTCTAGTCTATAGTCTAGTCTATAGTCTAGTCTATAGTCTAGTCTATAGTCTTGTCTATAGTCTAGTCTATAGTCTAGTCTATAGTCTAGTCTATAGTCTAGTCTATAGTCTAGTCTATAGTCTAGTCTATAGTCTAGTCTATAGTCTAGTCTATAGTCTAGTCTATAGTCTAGTCTATAGTCTAGTCTATAGTCTAGTCTATAGTCTAGTCTATAGTCTAGTCTATAGTCTAGTCTATAGTCTAGTCTATAGTCTAGTCTATAGTCTAGTCTATAGTCTAGTCTATAGTCTAGTCTATAGTCTAGTCTATAGTCTAGTCTATAGTATCTATAGTCTAGTCTAGTCTAGTCTATAGTCTAGTCTATAGTCTAGTCTATAGTCTAGTCTATAGTCTAGTCTATAGTCTAGTCTATAGTCTAGTCTAGTCTATAGTCTAGTCTATAGTCTAGTCTATAGTCTAGTCTATAGTCTAGTCTATAGTCTAGTCTATAGTCTAGTCTATAGTCTAGTCTATAGTCTAGTCTATAGTCTAGTCTATAGTCTAGTCTATAGTCTAGTCTATAGTCTAGTCTATAGTCTAGTCTATAGTCTAGTCTATAGTCTAGTCTATAGTCTAGTCTATAGTCTAGTCTATAGTCTAGTCTATAGTCTAGTCTATAGTCTAGTCTATAGTCTAGTCTATAGTCTAGTCTATAGTCTAGTCTATAGTCTAGTCTATAGTCTAGTCTATAGTCTAGTCTATAGTCTAGTCTATAGTCTAGTCTATAGTCTAGTCTATAGTCTAGTCTATAGTCTAGTCTATAGTCTAGTCTATAGTCTAGTCTATAGTCTAGTCTATAGTCTAGTCTATAGTCTAGTCTATAGTCTAGTCTATAGTCTAGTCTATAGTCTAGTCTATAGTCTAGTCTATAGTCTAGTCTATAGTCTAGTCTATAGTCTAGTCTATAGTCTAGTCTATAGTCTAGTCTATAGTCTAGTCTATAGTCTAGTCTATAGTCTAGTCTATAGTCTAGTCTATAGTCTAGTCTATAGTCTAGTCTATAGTCTAGTCTATAGTCTAGTCTATAGTCTAGTCTATAGTCTAGTCTATAGTCTAGTCTATAGTCTAGTCTATAGTCTAGTCTATAGTCTAGTCTATAGTCTAGTCTATAGTCTAGTCTATAGTCTAGTCTATAGTCTAGTCTATAGTCTAGTCTATAGTCTAGTCTATAGTCTAGTCTATAGTCTAGTCTATAGTCTAGTCTATAGTCTAGTCTATAGTCTAGTCTATAGTCTAGTCTATAGTCTAGTCTATAGTCTAGTCTATAGTCTAGTCTATAGTCTAGTCTATAGTCTAGTCTATAGTCTAGTCTATAGTCTAGTCTATAGTCTAGTCTATAGTCTAGTCTATAGTCTAGTCTATAGTCTAGTCTATAGTCTAGTCTATAGTCTAGTCTATAGTCTAGTCTATAGTCTAGTCTATAGTCTAGTCTATAGTCTAGTCTATAGTCTAGTCTATAGTCTAGTCTATGGTCTAGTCTATAGTCTAGTCTATAGTCTAGTCTATAGTCTAGTCTATAGTCTAGTCTATAGTCTAGTCTATAGTCTAGTCTATAGTCTAGTCTATAGTCTAGTCTATAGTCTAGTCTATATTCTAGTCTATAGTCTAGTCTATAGTCTAGTCTATAGTCTAGTCTATAGTCTAGTCTATAGTCTAGTCTATAGTCTAGTCTATAGTCTAGTCTATAGTCTAGTCTATAGTCTAGTCTATAGTCTAGTCTATAGTCTAGTCTATAGTCTAGTCTATAGTCTAGTCTATAGTCTAGTCTATAGTCTAGTCTATAGTCTAGTCTATAGTCTAGTCTATAGTCTAGTCTATAGTCTAGTCTATGGTCTAGTCTATAGTCTAATCCATAGCCTAGTCTATAGTCTAGTCTATAGTCTAGTCTATAGTATAGTCTATAGTTTAGTCTATAGTCTAGTATATGTTTTATTCTGTATTCTATTCTGTATTCTAGTATATAGTCTAGTCCATAGTCTAGTCTATAATCTAGTTTTAGTGTTGTCTATAGATTAGTATATAGTCTAGTCTAAGCCTAAGGAAAAAGCCAATTTTTGGACTAAATTATAAATTCAGTTTAATTTCTAAAAAAGGACTTTTATGATATAAGAAAGTACTTTTTCATTCAGTTTAATTTGAAGAAGTACTTTTTAAAAAAATTTAATAAAATTACGTCATTAAAAACAATTTTTTAAAGAGCATCAATCCATTTTATTATATTATTCAGCTTTCGATCTGACCATCATTAAAACAAATTTCAATGAATAATTCATGCCATGCCACAGATCCCAAACTATGCCTTTTTCTCCCTTCTCAGAAACCGGTTTCTCCAGATAAGGACCATTAAGATGACTACGAAAACAAATATAAAATGATACCAAACAAAAACATTCATTAAGTCAAAACCTACCTCTGATGACAATAACCAACCACAGGCTCCGTGTCATAGTTTGGCACAATTATGCAATTTTGACCCATCATTATCCTGATCCAAAGTGGTAAATTTCTTACCCACCTGTTCGCTTAACGCATCTCCAGCCGAAACCCACATAAGAACCCAATCTTTAAGTTCGGATAAGTCCGCTTCAGAGCCCACTATAAAATTATTATATTAGCATAAGCTATATGTTTATCATGATCCCCTAGTACGATCAAAAGTTCTTGGGGTCCTTTGGTTTAGTTAGCTGATGTAAAGGCTCTAAACCTATAAAGAATTCTTTGTGTTTATCGCCAAAACCCTGCTGATAATCCGCCCAATTGCGATAGAAATTCTCCGAACCATCTAGACGTCTTTGTATTGGTGTCCAACCATTGAAGATATAAGAAAGATCTGCGGAACATTTCGATCTTTCCTCATCTGCATACCAGCTTTCGAATGACTCCAATTGCCAAAGTAATTTTTCATGTTCATATTTGTCCCACTACTTGCATTTTCATGTTCTTCAGCTGATTTCTAATGGAATTCACATTCTGCACTAAATTACTGAGCTAGTAGTCCACTCACTGCTTCTATCATCTTTCTCAGCTTTTATAAGTTGAATTAATAGAAATAATAAAATTGGAAGAGTAACAGTTTTGAATTGCATTTTTCTCAAGACCTTCTACTTAGCGTTTTATTTAACAAATGAATCATTTGCAATTTATTTGTTTATTTATTATCAATTTTATTTTGTATGTAGAATTTTGTGAATTCTAGGTATTCAATAAATTATCGCTGCAGGTTAAAAGGTGACAGATTTTACTCTACAGCTGGGTTTCCTGGGAAACAGATATTTAAAGGTTTTAAATATTTCTTAGGAATCTTGATAATTATGAAAAGACAAAAACTTCTTTTAAATTATTAACAAAACTAAAAAAATAGACTAGTCATAGT